TCTATTTGTTTAAAGTAATGCTTGCATTTCCATATTTTTATTAAACGAATCCATTCCACTGGCTGCCTTCAATAACAACAAACAAAGAGGACGAAAGACTTCATGCGTGGCTGATTGTCAATGAAGCAGGGCTCCCACTTATGCATAGTTCACACCGACGCCGAATGTCGCGCTTTAAATCGGCGATCAATTCGGCGTCATTTTTTTTCAAAAAATCTTACGATCTCCTGAGATATGTTATGCTAAGTTCACACCGACGTCGAATTGATGGCGAATTAAATCGGCGAGCAAAGCGGCGGCAAAGCGTAACAAAGCTTAATTAAAGCGTAAAGACCGTAATAGAGCGTGAGAAAGCTTTGAGCAATTCGGGACATTCGGCAAGAGCGCCAAAAATTTAAACTCTGTTAAGCTTTCCTACGCTTTGAGCAAAACGTTGATAAGCTTTTTGACGCTTTGATAAGCTTTAATACGCTCTCCCCGCTTTACGCAATTCGTGACAGATCGCCTCAAATTTTTAAACAGTTTAACATTTTTTGGCGCTCTTGCCGAATGTCCCGAATTGCTCAAAGCTTTCTCACGCTCTATTACGGTCTTTACGCTTTAATTAAGCTTTGTTACGCTTTGCCGCCGCTTTGCTCGCCGATTTAATTCGCCATCAATTCGGCGTCGGTGTGAACTTAGCATTAGCCGAGTTGTATTAGCGAGGTAAAGCGGGTTGTGGTGAGTGGCCGCGAAGAGGCACTCGCAATAACTCGCGAAAGCTCTTCTTGTAACTCGCGACAAATTGGTAATGGCTCTTTTACAACATTCCATGACTCTCCTTGAAGTCGCGAGCAGTTCCAAAATTTTCACTGATTCGTTGTAACTCGAGGTGAACTCGCTTACACTCGTAATATACTCGCATTACTCGTAACAAGCTCGCGCTGCACTCTTCATAAGATGGCGAGTTGCTACGAGTTATGAAGAGTGCAGCGCGTGCTTTTTACGAGTAATGCGAGTATATTACGAGTGTTAAGCAAATTCACCTCGGGTTACAACGAATCATCGAAAATTTTGAACATGTTCAAAATTTTCACCGATACGTTGTTACTCGAGGTGAATTCGTTGTTACTCGAGGTTAACTCGCTTACACTCATAATATACTCGCATTACTCGTAACAAGCTCGCGCTGCACTCTGCATAAGTTGGCGAGTTGCTACGAGTTATGAAGAGTGCAGCGCGAGCTTGTTACGAGTAATGCGAGTATATTACGAGTGTAGGCGAGTTCACCTTGAGTTACAACGAGTCGACGAAAAATTTGAACAAGTTTAAAATGTTGGACCTGCTCGCGACTTTGAGGAGAGTCGTGGAATGTTGTAAAGAGTTACGCTAAGCCATACTGAATTGTTGCGATATCGTTCAGTAGGTCCTAAGGAAGCCCTGTACCAAAAATGGCGCTTTTATCACGGTAATTTCGCTAGGCCACCTGACTAAAAGAGTTAGGCCGAGCCATACCGAGTTATCCCGAGTAACAAAAAGTGCTGTTCGCGAGTTATTGCGAGTGCCTCTTTGAGGCAACTCACCACAACTCGCAATAACTCGCTAATACAACTCGGCTAAGTGGGAGCCCTGCTTTGGATCTTTTATCAACTCTGTTTGTTGATACGGCAGTTAAAAAGGATTCGTTTAATACAATTATGGAAATGCAACCGTTATTTTAAACAAACAGAACTTTGTTATTCCTGGCTCATTTTTCCTGATTGAGGTGTCATATGAAAGGGCGGAAAATGAACTCACAGGAAATGTAATTTTCTCTTTGAAATTCAGATACCGCCCGCCAAATGACTTCTTGGTACACTCTCTTCAAATTCTTTTTAATCACTCATGCGTGAAATATGCATCATATGACTTGCATTAAGTGAAAGAGGGGGACCTAAGCTTTACGAATATGTGTCATTTATTAATTTTAATTGTGATTAAGTTATGATAAAACATCGATAATTATCGGTTTCGTTTTTTCTCGGACGCACTGTATACAGTGTGTCCCAGAAAAAACGAAACCGAGGTTATGGAAAGATGATTCAGGGTTAATACAATTCCTCGAGGTTGATTTTATAAGCTGTAATACTTATTTCCATATTTCAGGTAAAAAAATACAGTTTTGGGAAGTTTTTTTTTAAGTATTGCATGGAGCCATATATACTAATGAGCATCTTTATAGACTTGGTTTTGTTGGTGATAATTTATTTTCGTTTTGTAAGCAGAAAATAGAAACATAGAAACATTTATTTTTATCTTGCGGGAGCGTTCAAAGGATATGGCAGGCTTTAGTACAACTTGTTTAGTTAGATGAAATTAAAGATTTAGAATGGCGAGATATATTTGATGGGTTGGCAGGTAGTTCGTATAGAATAAAAATGTGTAATACTATAATTTTCATGGTGAAGTATGTTACATTTATGTCAAGACCGGAGGGGGGGGGGGGCGATTACCAACTTTAGAAAAGATTTTAAAAAAAAAGCATTTTTAAGTATATGGATGAGGAAAAGAAAATAGCCATTAGAATGGGAAAGCTGAGATCACATTTCTTAAAGTGGGAGCAGCTAAAGACTAATTAAGATTTGTTTTCTTCACTTTGAATGACATATCCCAAAGGTCTGCCCATTCTGCCAGTGTGGAAAGTTCCTGCTGTAATTAAGGCTATGGAAAGGCAATAACATTTACAATTGACATATATATTATGTTTAGATACTTATACGTACATTGTTGCTAAGTTATATATATATACTGCAAATAAGTTTTTGTTTAATTATGTTTATATATAAGCAATCAATATTGAAAACGTTTATTTTAGATAGAGAGAAAGAGAAAGAGATAGGTAGATAACGGGGAGGGATAGAGATCGAGGGAGAAATAGGGTGGATAGCTTACTAGCGCGCGCGTGCGTGTGTGTGTGTGTGTGTGTGTGTGCGTTTGTGTGTATGTGTGATAGAGAGACAGTCACACAGGTAAAGAGAGATGATAAGTTTTGCATTAACACTCACCCTCTTTTTTGAGACAATGTGATTCCCCATGGGAGATAAAGACCCGTACTAATAATGGTTCGTCGGTTAGACCCAAGTACGCTAGCACTCACTATCTGTTTCAACAGAGTATCAGTCCAAAATATCCTGTTCGTCATTAAATCTAGGACGATTCCTTGCGGGGCTGAATGGATAAATTAGAATGTAAACAAAACGAAACAAAGTACATTTACAGAGATGAAGAAAAAATCTTTGTGCTAGACTGTATTTGACCAAAACGATATCATTAAATGGGCCAGAACAAATCTGATTGATTTTGTTTTGCAGCACAATGATGCACAAACCCTATTTTCAGATAGCATGATGACTGGCGATACGAAAACGTCACCGTCTAGATTTCATTCGCACCCTATTATGAATGAAATTAGGATGCCATTACTCAAATTGATAGATAATATCCAAACAATCCTTTAAATGGCTTATATAATAAAAAGGCCCAAAGACATAAACAAATAAAAAAATAAAAATAAACAAAAACAAAAATAAAGCTAGAATGAATAAACCTAAATTAATACATGATTGGATAAATAATAAATGAAGAAATATTTAACAAAATAAATATATGGATATATACATGAATAGTCAAATACATTCATGAGCGAATGAGTATATATATATTTAAGCCACACTCACATCCAATGCCTTGGCTTTGATCAATCAAGATTTCTTGGTTCGACCCATCAAGTGAAGCTCGATTGATTGTCCTCGCATCCTCATCACTCCAGTAAATCTTGTCGGTCCGGTAGTCGTAGTCAATGCCTGTAGGAGCTTCAACCCCGCTCAGTGGTATTTCGCGGATATCCTCGCCGTGGAAGTCGAATCCACTGTTCTCGCCCACGAAGATCTTGCCATCGAGCACGTCCGTTATAAAGATTTTGTCAGCTGAGTGGAGAATATTAGTGATAACAACAACAACAAGAACAGTTATAATAATGATAGAAACAATTATAATGATAATGATGATTAAACTAATAAACATAATAATATTCAGAAGAATGATAATATTAATATTAATAATACTGATATGATCATGTGGGTGATAATGGGAATAGTAATAACAACAACAATAAAAATGACAATGATCATCAACCTAAAGATAATGATGGTGCATGTAATGATGATGTTACACTTTTACAAAGCGCACTTATGTGACTTTAATGGCAAATTTCATTCATTCGTACGAGCTTTCCGACATTAACAAAATACTGATATATAATGGGAAAGATACATACATACCATGAGAAGTTGGTATTAAGATGGTAGACAAAAATTACTGATCCAGAGGCCATAAGGGGAATACAGAACAACAACGTGCAAACATAAGGATACGTGAGAGAAAGATAGAGAGAGAGAGAGAGAGAGAGTGCGAGCAAGAGAGAGAAGGAGAGAGAGAGAGAGGGAGAGAGAGAGAGAGAGGGCGCTCTCCAGCAGCCGTGAGCTTTTAATTTTGTCAGCTCTTTATATTTTCCCCTTACTATTCGCTACTTACTACTTTATTTTTGTCTTTATTGTTAACTTCTTATTCAGTGATGATATAGTTATTTGATAGTTTAACCTATGTAACTCATTAATGTATTCTTTATTGCCATTTTATTATGTATACTTGATTTAAATTGTATGTTGAACTTGTACACAAAGGTGACGACAGTCTTTGGACTGTTTGTTCTGGGTTTTTGATGTGATTTGATTTGATTTCAATAAATCCTTTACAAATGTGAGATATATATATGCTTCTTCTATTTCGTCCTTCTCCTCTTCTTCTGCTTCTCCTTTTTCTTCTTCTTCTTCGTTCTTTTTGTATTGTTATAATGATGCTGATTATTATTATCATTATTATTATTATGGTTATTATTATTATTGTTATCAGTATCACAATTATCATCATTATTGAAAGTGTTGTTGTTGTGACCATTATCCTTTTAAAGAGCTAAAGAATACCTGAAGACTGATCGGAGCAGTCGATTGGCTCTTCGTCCCAGTTTCCTGTAAAAGCGTTACAAATCCACTCAACTTGGTCATTGCCATTGTCACACGTAACGGACACAGTGGTATTAGCCGTGTAGCTATCGCTTGGGTTGACGAAAGACGCCATCGGCGGGGGGTTTGGGAGAGTACATGTTACTCCTACAAAGTAAAAACAAAATAAAATCAACAACACCAACAACACAACCCCACAAAAAGAAGAACAACGACACACATACAGAAATTTGGGCCATTTAAATTGCGTAAAACGAACGCTGAAAAATGCACAATATTATTTTCCTGTTTGTTAATATTTTGTGCCTTATCGATAATGTATTTTGTCCAATAATCTATGGGGAAAGTCTAAGGTTCGTTTTCCATGTGTTACCGAATCATTGAAGAATAGTATACGGAACAAAATTTGATAGAATTTAGAGCTTGAATTAGATGAAATATCAAGTTCTATGAGTATGACACTTTAATATCTACTATTCCTTGATAAGCAACCAGGGAGGCAGGGGCTATCCCTGTGGAACCTGTATATTTAACGTGGTACATTCATTGTCTTCTAAAAAGGACCATCTCTCGGTTGGCTCTAGGCTATCTCTCGGTTGTCTCTTGAATATGGACTTTTAGATTTGTTGACATAGTGTACTGCTACATGTGACGTCCTTTTAAGGCAATGGCAGTGCCTTAAAAGGACATCACAGTGCCCTAAAAGGACGTTACACGTAGCAGTCCACTATGTCGACGTGCAAATCTAAAAGTCTCTATTGTCTCTCGGACGTCTATCAATTGTCTCACGGAGCAAACGGGGCTGAAATTCGTGCAAGTGTCTAGGGGTGCGTTCAATCGAATTTTCGAAGCTAGAATCACAAACATGAATCACAAATCAAAACGCCATTACAAAAAACAAGGTCACTGCGGATAGCGTTCAAGCGATTTTTCATCAACGCTGATTCTAGCTCATTTCGAGCCCAGCCACTGCGGATCACACTCGCAGTTTGACCCAGGAAGTACAGGTCAAATTCGGCGCGCGTTTTGGAATTGTTTACGGCCGACTTTTTAACTGCTGTTTTTAGCATAGATCGCAATAATAAAACAAAGAATGAGAAGGTGATGGAAGGAAGAAACAAAAAATAACATAAGGAAAGACAGAAAGAGAAAGTGATAGAATGATTGAAACAAAGAATAACATAAGAGAAAGTGATAGAATTATTAAAAAAAAGAATAACATAAGAGAAGGTGATAGAAGGAAAAAAACAAAGAATAACATAAGAATAGAAGGAAGAAACAAAGAATAACAAAAGAGAAAGTGATAGAATTATAAAAACAAAGAATAACATAAGGAAAGACACAGAGAGAAAGTGATAGAATGCTTAAAACAAAGAATTACATTAAAAAAGCTGATAGAAGGAAAAAAACAAAGATTAACATAAAAATAGAAGGAAGAAACAAAGAATAACAAAAGAGAAAGTGATAGAATTAGAAAAACAAAGAATAACATAAGATAAGGTGATAGAAGGAAAAAACAAAGAATAACATAAGAATAAAAGGAAGAAACAAAGAATAACATAATGAAAGACAAAAAGAGAATGTGATACAAGGAATGAACAAAGAATAACATAAGGAAAGACAGAAAGAGAAAGTGATAGAATGATTAAAACAAAGAATAACATAAGAGAATGTGAGTGAAGGGAAAAAACAAAGATTAACATAAGAATAGAAAGAAGAAACAAAGAATAACAAAAGAGAAAGTGATAGAATTATAAAAACAAAGAATTACATAAGAAAAGCTGATAGAAGGAAAAAAACAAAGATTAACATAAGAATAGAAGGAAGAAACAAAGAATAACAAAAGAGAAAGTAATAGAATTATAAAAACAAAGAATTACATAAGAGAAGGTGATAGAAGGAAAAAACAAAGAATAACATAATGAAAGACAAAAAGAGAATGTGATTCAAGGAAGAAACAAAGAATAACATAAGGAAAGACAGAAAGAGAAAGTGATAGAATGATTAAAACAAAGAATAACATAAGAGAATGTGAGTGAAGGGAAAAAACAAAGATTAACATAAGAATAGAAAGAAGAAACAAAGAATAACAAAAGAGAAAGTGATAGAATTATAAAAACAAAGAATTACATAAGAAAAGCTGATAGAAGGAAAAAAACAAAGATTAACATAATAATAGAAGGAAGAAACAAAGAATAACAAAAGAGAAAGTGATAGAATTATAAAAACAAAGAATAACATAAGAGAAGGTGATAGAAGGAAAAAACAAAGAATAACATAATGAAAGACAAAAAGAGAATGTGATACAAGGAAGAAACAAAGAATAACATAAGGAAAGACAGAAAGAGAAAGTGATAGAATGATTAAAACAAAGAATAACATAAGAGAATGTGAGTGAAGGGAAAAAACAAAGATTAACATAAGAATAGAAAGAAGAAACAAAGAATAATAAAAGAGAAAGTAATAGAATTATAAAAACAAAGAATTACATAAGAAAAGTTGATGGAAGGAAAAAAACAAAGATTAACATAAGAATAGAAGGAAGAAACAAAGAATAACATAAGGAAAGACAGAAAGAGAATAAGATAGAAGGAAAACAAGGTATAACATAACGGAACAGGCCACGATAAAGAGCATGGTATAGTAAACGCAAATTGCATGAAAAGCAGGCGCGCGGTTTTTGTCCAAGCCGGAACAGGCTCCGTCATAAAATCATGATTGAAAACTCCGTCCGTTCAATCGAATTTTAGCGACCGTGATTCTGCAGAATCATGATACAAAACGCATCTTTTTCAGCGTTTCATGTTTGTGTTTTCAAACACGTTTATTTTTACGACCGACGAAAAAATCGCTTGAACGCATTGCGTTTTAAACTAAACGTCTTTAGAAACCGTGATTCTAGGGTGAAAAAGTGTCGATTAAACGCACCCTAGGTAGCTTAACTGTAATGAAGGTAGGTTGTCTATAGTTTAACCAAATTGTAAATATGTTAATACAGCATTTACTTACTTGTAAGGCAGTTCAAGCCTTTCCAACCCACTATACAAATGCACTCGGGAGTGTTATACGCAACGAGCTGACATCGACTGTTACCGGGGCAAGACTCGTTAACTGGGCACGTTAAGTCTGAAAATGAATCAATTAAAATAATTTCATGCGAGCAGCGTTATTGAAATATTAAAGGGAGTGCGATTTAGAGAAAACAGACAGCATCCTTGTTTAAGGCTCTTCAGGTAAACAATTCCGCTTTCAAAGCTCCGTTGTCAAAGGACTTAATGGTATATAGCTTCCAGATTTGTAGATTTAAAAGAAAAAACATAATCTAATTGTTTTTTATACACTAGTAATACGCAAAGGCTCAGATCAATTACAGTTCAGATTTTCCAATCGAAGAACAAATATATTCAACTTTGATTTCTCAATATTATTAACTGTTTTTCTATTGCCACACTTTTATCTTTCTTTTGCAGTCTACTGTGCCTCATTTCCTGCTCCCTCTATCTTTTCTTCAAAGCTGGAAATTATTGACTATATGCTTATAGAAAATTGCGCAATATCAATTTACTTTCATCATTATCGTTATTATTATCATTACCATCTTTGTTGTTAATATTTCAATAATCTATTATCAATGCAATTAGCTAAGAGTAAGACAGGGAGAACTCTAACAGAACAATCAGAAGTAAAGAAGAGATGGAAAGAAAACTACAACGAATTATATAATGAACAAAATCCAAAAAACGACACAGTAGCAAATAGTCTACCCACCAGCTCTTCAGATAACCCAGATCTAAACATACTGAAGGAGGAAATTATAAGTGCAATAATAAAAAAAACCTAGTTTGGATAAGGCACCAGGATACGATACAGTCACTTCCGAAGAGATCAAAGCAGCTTGAGTAACAGGAACAAACATTTCTTACTATTTCTGCAACTGAATATGGGAATCTGAGAAATTCCCGGAGGACCGGGGAAGAGCAATAATAACCCCAATTTATAGGAGGAAAGACAAACTAGATTGCGGGGACTTACAGGGGTATCAGTCTGCTGTACCATGCAGGAAAGGTACTGACCATTTTCCTACAAAGAAGAAATTTCAAGAGAACGGAATAAATTTTCTCTGAATTCCAGGCAGGATTCAGACCAGGCAGGGCTACGACAGACCAAATATTCACTATGAGACAAATAGCTGAACGATACCTGGAAAATAACAGAAGCCTGTACTGCTGCTTTATCGACTTTTAGAAGGCTTTTGATTCCGTATGGCAGAAAGGCCTGTGGAAGGCGATTGGATGTTTTGGCTATCCTACCAAGCTGATACGACTGCTACAAGCACTGTATGACCAGTCCCAGAGTGCGGTCAGAGTAAATGGAGAGCTGACAGAGTGGTTCAAGACAACCGTTGGAGTCAGGCAGGGGTGTGTAATCTCCCCAACAACTTTTCAATATGCTCCTCGAGCTAGTTATGATCATGGCAATGGATGAAGTCCAAATAGGCCCACAATTCAAGGAACCTGTACAAAAAACCTACGTTTTGCAGACGAAATCGTATTAATAGCAGAGACCCCAGAGGAACTGCAGACACTTGTGGATAAGGTCTACAAGGCAAGCTGTGACCTTGGTCTCAAGGTGAACAAGTTATTATCAAAATGAAGTGCAACGTCAACATTGACATAACCAGCGACAGACTAAAATAGGTGGAAGATTGTGTGTACCTGGGGAAACAATAGCAGAAAACGGCTCAAGTTCGAGTGACATTAAGAATCGAATCAGGAAAGCACGGGCAGCTTTCCAAAGACTAAATTACATCTGGACATAAAAAAGCATTGGAAGCCACAAAAGATGCAACTGTATCAAACACTTTATCCTCTCAATACTGCTTTATGGGACAGAATCCTGGACAGTAAGAAAAGAAGATGGCAAAAGGCTTCAGGTGTTTGAAATGGCATGCCTCCGTTGCATAATGGGGATGACAAGACTAGACAAGATCCGAAACACACACATCAAAGAATCCATCAACCTCGATCAAGATGTTCTGGACAAAGTCTCTACTAAAAGATTCAAATATTTTGGCCACGTCCTAAGAATGAAACCCACAAGATACTCTAAATTTGC